CGTATTTTAGAACCTATGTGTGTTTTATCCTTTTTACCGCTTTTAATTATGGCATTTTATGGATTTATCTTTGAAACAGATCGCATGTGTGTAAATCCGTTTTATTTGGGGCGCTAAAAATCATGTCACACGTATGTGTACACAATTAATCGTGCTTTATTAATTATTAAGATTATTTTTGGCCAAAGCCGCGCGAACGCGTACCTTGATTTACTTATGAAAAAATCATAATTATGTCACGCGAACGTGTACACAATCGTAATGATATATTAGAACGTGTCTAAAGCATTCTACGATTGTTCATGAATTCTTTTTCCAAGTTTGAGATTGATGGCTAAAGTCATGAATTATCACGAATTAATCATAGAGTTGAGCACGTTTGAATTAATCAACCACTTGTAATTATTTCAGTTTATTGGTCCTCAATTACGTTAGAATCTACATATTCATGCTAGTATTTGAAATATGCGAACAAGATAATTAGAACGCGCCTAAAGCATTCTACGGTTGTTCATGAATTATTTTTCCAAGTTTGAGATTGATGGCTAAAGTCATGAATTATCACGAATTAATCATAGAGTTGAGCACGTTTGAATTAATCAACCACTTGTAATTATTTCAGTTTATTGGTCCTCAATTACGTTAGAATCTACATATTCATGCTAGTATTTGAAATATGCGAACAAGATAATTAGAACGCGCCTAAAGCATTCTACGGTTGTTCATGAATTATTTTTCCAAGTTTGAGATTGTTGGCCAAAGTCATGAATTATCACGAATCAATCATAGAGTTGAACATGTTTGAATTAATCAATCACTTGTAATTATTTCAGTTTATTGGTCCTCGGTTACGTTAGAGTCGACATATTCATGTTGGTATTTGAAATCTGCGAACAAGATAAGGGTTCATGATGTAACTACCCATTTCAATAATTGTTGTAATAAATTAATAGGGAAAAGGATCAATTGATTTACACAAGTAATGGATGGCAATATCATAACAGATTGCCAATTTTAAACCCCAAATGGATTTCAATTGGGTTAAACTCTGAAGCCCAATGACCTGGAGTATCTAGCCTCGCTTACTTGACTCCAATAGGGCCCTTTTGCAAATCTGGCCCAATTTCTACTTTGGCACTTAATAAAGCCACTAAAAATCATGCATTAAATTTTTAACACAATTGCAGTTAACTCGACATAAAAGAATACAAAAGCTGTATTGGAGTTCAGTTTACATATTTAACCTATTCTATTATTATTAATTACAGTATGATCACCTTACACTAACATCCAACCACTTTACATTAATAGCCAAATCCCAGTTCATATCCCTTCATTCCACTGTTCATACTCCAAACAATGATACACTAACTTTAACTCTCATTTATACTTTTCCTTTTATGCATGTGATGCTCAACAAAGATTGGACCCAAATCATACAAACTGTTCATACTTTATAAAGTTAGGCTCAGTACATAATCGTGTTTTCTATTAAAGCTCATGAACATTTGATAGGTTATATGTACCTTGTAATGTTTTGATGATCTAATAAATTTAATGACAAAAACCAGATAAGGAACCTGATACACACCCTCAAGTACGTGGGAATAAACAAGTCTCAAGCTGGATATGTAAATCAACTCTTCAGGTGACAAAGAAATAACAAGGGGAACCGATGTCTGGTGACCATACCCCAATCAACTCCCCACAACTGTAAAGTTGCTGTCTGCACACGCAACAGTACAAAAATAGTGCAACAGTCACTTTATGAGGAATGTATTTGTACCAAACATGATTATATTATTCAAGTGATGTCACTTATGTAATACTAACATCAAGTTTTCTCTCAAGTATATTGCCAACCTGCAAGTGACCTTCAAGGCGTCAAGAACAAAGATCAATATAACAAAGGACCAGTTTCCAGCATTGAGTCATCACATGACCTTAGTTGTGTTGCACCCTTGTTTAAGTTCTTTACTTGTAATTCCTACTTAGCTTTGTTAGAAACAATTGTGTAGGAAACCTTTGTAAATCATAAACCCTTGTGTTTGTGTATTGGCTAGTTTAGTCGAGTTGGAAGTCTTTGTAATAGAGTTATTACAAAGTGGCTTGTAATAGAGTTGTTACAAGTTAGTGAGGGATTAAGTCTTTGTAATAGAGTTATTACAAAGTGGCTTATAATCGAGTTGTTACAAGTTAGTGAGGGATTAAGAGGTTAATTCCTAGATTACAATAGGTTATAATCTAAAGTTTGCTCAGTAGTGAAGTTAAAATCCTACAAGGGTAGGTCGTGGTTTTTAACCCGTGAGCTGGGAGTTTTTCACGTAAAATTTCATTGTGTCATTTACTTACTGCTATGCTCGTGTGTTTTGTGGGAACTAATAGAGAACCTGGTTCTCTATATAGTTTGGTGGACCCTTAAATTCTATCAACATTTATTTGATGTTAAAACTAGATCAAAGCCAATGTATCAACGATACCAACAAGATGCATACAGTGAACTAATTGCATATGATTAGAGAACAATTGTGGCTTTATACAGTGAAGGAAACAAATCCATACAGTGAACAAACAGAAAACATCAGAGAAAAATTGTGACTTTATACCAAAGAAGATTTGCTAATACTTTGAAAGAAAAATATATCTAATTGCGCATGATTAGATGTAGAAGAAAAGAAAACCAAATAAAGGCTTAAGTCCACCACTTGGAGTTCAACTCAAATTTAACAATCAGCAGCAAATCCAACAGCAATCAGTAAACGAACAACCAGTTTACAACTCAAACAGCCTTCGAAACCCAAAAACGATCAAGCCATGTAGCGAAAATTTGAACAACCTTTTAATCCTTTTTTTTCTTTTCGATTTTCCTCTTTTCTTTTGAACTTTTCTAGATCTTAAATTTTGAAGTGCAAGCTTATTCTCTCAACAGTTCAGGCGTGTGTGTGTGATTAAGTGTGCGTGCGTGAGGTGCGACCGAGAGAGTGAATGTGAGAAGTGTAGGCAGATTGGAGTGAATGGAGAAGAAGAGGGTGGCAGCTAGGGTTTTTTTTAAGGGAGGGGGTGTTCTATCTGTCCTCTTTTGATTGAAAAGGATTAGGGGTTATTTTAATGGGTAGGGAGAGGGGTATTGGGCTAGGCGGGTCATGGGTGAACTTGGCCGATAGAATTGGCCCAATTTGACCTTTTTCAGCTTTTTGATCAATTGTCTTCAAATTGTAGCCACTTAACCATTAATTTAAATTAATCCTATATTTGCAGAAGTACCCTATGCTATTTTAGCTAATAATTAACTAATAATTTAACTAACAATGACAAATGTATTTTTGTTATTTTATATTTTAACCATACTTTTAACAATAATAAAAGCTATTTTGTTTTGATATTTTTAGCAGTAATTTTATATATTGGGCAAAAATTACGTGCTCACACTAGGTACCACAAAAGTCACCTTGGCCAAATTTTATACTACTTTTACTTGAAAAGTTTATTACACCCTTGACATTATATATATTCTCCCATTTATATAATACCTTCTATATTATATATTATATAATATATTTTACCTAGGTATTTTACTTATAATTAAAATAACTTAATATTATTTTCATAATATATTCGTATATTTCATTTTCCTTTAACTTTAATTTTCAAGATATATTGAAAGCATTATTAAATTTGTCAGTGACAAAACTGTAAGGAAATCTCAAGTCAACGTTCGTAACCATGCCTAATAAAATATTTTTAATAAAAATTATAAAATCAAAGCTCACATATTTATAAGCCAAGCCATGTTCGTTAGTTCAATAAACAAAATACTCACATTTAGCATATTTATACATCACATTAACACTTTCAAATAATAATATTAACAGATAAAACTTTTAAAAACTTAATATTAAACACAAATATCTTTGATTTAAAAAAAAAAGTTATACTGACTATAAAAAACTATCATTTGGTAAACAAATCTATTTTTGTTATTTCAAACAAATATATTTTATCGTTTTTATATTTTAAAATATATTCATGTTTGAATATGATCAAACAAATTTAATGCCATGAAATATATTATAAAAATAATAAATAAAGTAATAATATAAAGTTATTTTAATTATAAGTAAAATACTTAGGTAAAATTTATTATATAGTATATAATATAGAAGGTATTACATAAATAAACGAATTTATATAATGCCAAGGGTATAATAGACTTTTCAAGTAAAAATATTATAAAATCTGGTCAAGGTGACTTTTGTGTTACCTAGAGCAAAGTAGAATATTTTTTGTGTAACAAAAGAAAGAAAAGTGACTTTTGAGTAACGAACACTGTAAATACGTAATTTTTGCCCGACGTACAAAATCTCTCCTAAAAAGGTCAAAAATAGTTTTATACTTGTTTTAGATTTTTGTAGGATTGTTAGATAATTTTTCTCTATTTATTTTTTGCAATATATTGCATTTTTGCATTTTTCTTTAGCCTAATTAGGAGTAGCTTAAATCAAAAAATGTCAAAAAATATTTTTTTCTTTTGTTTTGTTGCATTCTAACACTTTAGTTGCATTTTTAGGATTTAATTTCATCATTAGATGCATTAGTTAAATACATAAAATCGCAAATTGCATTTTAGGTTAGTTAATTAGTTGAATTAGTCCATAATTAGGTAAAATAGATAAATAGGCTAGCCATACAAAAATTAGATTCAATTAAAGTTATGGGCATACGTATAATGTGTACGTAGGCACAAGTTGCTACAAGCGGTTGAGACTAATACCGTGTGTGGCTAGAGTTTGCAAAAATCTAATATTGAAAAGAGCTGGGCTTGCCTCCTCTGCACATTAATTTGGGCCCAAAAAACGGTGGCCCAATGTCTCAAATACCCACACCCATCCAAATACCCGGTCCAATAATATCCACCCACCAGTCGATCCAAACGACGCAGTTTGAAACCAAACGACGTCGTTTGGTTTCAAGTTTTCATTTCAACAACGCCTCTCATTCATTCTCAATAGACGGATCCCTCCCCCTATTTTTTGGAACCCTAGCCGTCACCCCATAGAAACGAGACCCCCTCCCTTCTACAACAAAAACCAAGCTGCTCGCCTCCCCTTCGTCACTCTGTCACTCATACACACTCTTCCCTGACACACACACGCTGAAGCCTCTAGTAACAAGTGGGAATTACAAAGTTTAGAGCTAAAATTCAAAAATTGCAAAGCTAATTTTCAGTTTCAAATCCTTGTCTTCTCTCACATTTTCTGGGGAGTTCAGAGCTTGATGGATCTGTAGAGCTTGTTTCGAAGCTGAGAGTTTGATTTAAACTCAAATCTCTGTTCGATTCCGCTGATTTTACTATTTCGGGAACTGCTGAGCTTCGGTCGAGTTTGCCTCTGCCTTTAAGTCGGTTTATTCGAGTATTCTTTGTTCAACCAGGTTAGTTTTCAAACTCCCTTGTATTATGCTTTTATTTAATGATTAAAATGGCCGAATCTTTATTTCATTTTTCTAGAACTGCTCAGCCTGATTTTTGCTAGTGCCATGTATAATGAATGTGTATTTTGATCCAATTTGAAACATAACATGAATACATTAAAATTCCTCTTCTCGATTAGGATCATAGTCATGATACATAACCCCCAATTCGAGTGTGTGTTTCACGTGACTCGACCTCAACTTCAAATAATAATTAAAATCAACATGTTGTAAATTGCCGCTGCATTTCACGTGACGCGATTCACAGTGCGTACAAAAACATTAAGCGCGCGACATCGCGACTTATTTCAATAAATTCCATAAATAATTAAAAGCGGTTAGAAAGTAAAATGCACAATAGGTTTTCAATATGTAATAAATTAGATAATTAGGTCAATTATTAATAGTTGAACGACCATGCTAAAACCACGGAACTCAGGGGTACATCACACCTTCTCCCGGGTTAACGGAATTTCTTATCCGGTCTTCTAGTTTCACGGACTTTTAAACAGAGTCAAATTTCCTCGATTTGGTATTTAAAATAAACCGGTGACTTGGGACACCATAATAATCATTCCAAGTGGCTACTCTAATTAAATAAATAATCCCATTTCTAATAATGTCACTTTAATTGGAAAACCAAATATGGAAGAAACCTCAACTGATGATAACCAATTACTTCATTATCATTTCTGGTTATCTGTCAGCTGTGGACTTATTTAACGAGAATGACACTGAAAGTCATTGAACTACTTATTAGGTAGTAGGACCGTAGGAGTACTTATTTAACGAAAATGACATTAGACCAGCTGTTGCACTTAAAAAGTTTGGAACTTAGGTGAATGTGCAACTACAAAAAGAAAAAAAAAGACAAATGATAAAATATAAAGTTTTTTTTATAAGTAGGTTTTACTTTTCAAACATTTTTAAAAGAGGATGAAACAAATTCCCAAACCCCACCTAACAAATTGTGACCCCATTAAAAATGAAGATATAATCATTGTCACAATATGATGAGATGACATTTTATTATTTTTTTTTTATGAAAAAAATAATATAGGAGTATGTATATATTATTCAAAGTCATTGCTACAAATTACTAAAATCAATTGAATTAGGGTTTTCATTGACAGAATGCTTAGAATAGCAACCCAGTTGAGATTAAAAAGCCCAAGTAGCGGATATTCGGCCCGCCAATTTCAAAAGTCGCCACAATAGATCGATTGAATTACCACCACCACTTGCTCCTCTCCTCTCTTTCTCCGACCAATATCCCCAGCTGTGTAAGTTCCTAATTTCTCTCTCTCATTTCTATGTAATAACCCTAAATTCCCTTTTTCCCAAGTAATTTAGCAATTGACTTACAATGATTTTTGTATACTTAATTTCATTAAAGATAAATATTTATGATAGAATTAGGAGTTCTAGTTCTTGGGATTTAAGTCTTAAGTTCAATACATCCACCAAATCATCCTAATATACTAAAAGGGATTTTCTTTTCTCGTTACAGTTTTAACTTTTAAGTCAATTTAATAGAGAAATACCCTTTTCTAATCCTTATTACTGTAACCAGAATTGCTCCATTAGGTTAAATCCTGTCCTAGTTAGTGTATGCAGTAGGTCCTTTGAGTTAAATGTTATTATGTCATGGATTAGAATGTTTTTGTATAGGTTTCAAACTTAGAAATGAAAAGAAACAAAAAGAAAGAAAGATGCTTTAATTATATTAAGAGTGCAAGCCGAGTGAAGAAAATATTCCATTTATGTATTGAAAGATTACTTGGTTGATAAATTTCTTTGTTATGAACCTCAGTTGCTATTGCTTTTCTTCTTTTGTCTGAACAGATTATTGTCATGTACTATTTCTGTAGCTGATGCTCTTTGGTGTTGGAACGGCAAGTTCATTTTGTTTCAAAGGAGTATATATTAACTCTACTATTATAGTTGGTAATATTTTCAGTAGAAGAAGTTTTTGTACAATGAAAGAAGTTGGAACTGATAATGCCTCGAGTTTGCTTACATCAGAATCTGTGGGAGAGGCTCCTGTTCTACATCCTGTGTCTGTCAGAGCAAAATGTTCTTCAAATGTTCAATCAACCCCAGAAATCGAAAAGAAGTATGTCCATGGTGTTTATGATGCCATTGCTCCCCATTTCAGTTCCACTCGGTTTGCAAAGTGGCCTAAAGTGTCAGCTTTCTTGAACTCGTTATCTCCCGGTTCACTCATCTTAGATGCTGGATGTGGAAATGGGAAATACTTGGGGTTAAATCCTGATTGTTTCTTTATTGGCTGTGACATTAGTGCTGCTCTTATTAATATATGTGCAGATAGAGGACATGAAGTTTTGGTTGCAGACGCTGTGAACCTACCATATAGGACTGGTTATGGTGATGCAGCGATTTCTATTGCTGTGTTGCATCACTTAAGTACTGAAGATAGGAGGAGGAAAGCGGTGGAGGAGCTCGTCCGTGTTGTTAAAAAGGGTGGGTGTATTTTAATTACTGTCTGGGCCAGGGAACAAGAAGACACGTCGTTAGTTGAAAAATGGACACCACTTAACCAAAGGTATATAGCAGAGTGGATAGGACCAGGAAGTCCTCGAGTTCGCAACCCTTCATCTCCTCGCACCCTTGAAAGAATCCCAGAAGCAGAGGAAAATGGTGCTGGGGAGCAGTTGAAAGACCTGCATGCAAAGTCTTCAAAAGTAAAATCAGCTGAAGTTATGGACTCAACCTCTCAGGATAAAGGCCGTTCTTTGCTTACTGGATCTGGAAAAGGATATGCAGAGCAACAGGAATTCTTTGTTCCTTGGCACTTACCTTATCATCGAGCTGAAGTAAGTGGGGCTTCAGCTGTTGCCTTAGCTAGTGGTTTGGCAAAGAAAGATGATAAGAAGGCCTCTGTGGTGTATAATAGATATTACCATGTTTTTAGTGAAGGTGAACTTGAAAGGTAATTCCTTTTCTATTTTATATAAGAAAAGTAAAGAATTTCCCCTAATTTTCTTGTTTGACTGATTTCATTCTGTCAAGTCGCTATATGTTAACAAATGCTTATCATGGTTGTTAAATTTTATAATCTATAACATGATGACTGAATGTCGTTACACTTCTCGCAATTGTTTTTTTTTTTTGTGACTAGGAAAGTGTAAACAGTTTGTGTCATTCTTTGAGTAGAAATTTAGTGTACAATCAATGCTCTGGCAATAATATGTTCATAGAGTTTGAATCTCTTAAAAACATATGATATTTGGGAGGTCACAAGAGCAATGAGTTTTAGAGTTCTGATTATCTCATTATATGCGATGCTAGGAGTCTCTTTCATCCTTATTCAGAAGTAATTTTGACGTGTTACTGTTCTCTCCCAATATATAGTTTTGATTATCTCATTATAGGCGATGCTAGGAGGCTCTTTCATCCTTATTCAGAAGTAATTTTGACGTGTTACTGTTCTCTCCCAATGCATATAGATGAATGAATGAAACAAAACAAATCCAGTTGATCAGTTTTTCTTGATAAGTAAAAATAGGTTCTTTTTCCCTTATTGCAGCAGGGCTTCTGCTTGTTTGTCTCTGAGTCATTTCTGAAGTTCTTTTATTGCTTCTTTCATCCCCCCCCCCCCCCCCNGCTTGTTTGTCTCTGAGTCATTTCTGAAGTTCTTTTATTGCTTCTTTCATAACCCCTTCCCCATGGACTGAAGGGAAAGGATTTTGAGTATTTGGGGTGGGGAGTGGCAAGATGAGGCAGTACTTCTCTGATATGTAGTTTCGCAAAATTAAAAGTTTGACCAATTTGTAACAATGAGCTGCACTAATTGACATGTTCTGTTCTTCGATAGGTTGGTGTCTGGTCTGGATAATACCATTGTCGTTGATAGATTCTATGACAAATCAAATTGGTGCATCATTCTTGAGAAAACATCGTGATAGTGTTGAACTTTTCAAATGATTCTTGCACTTCCATTTGGCGAAGTCAAATCTATTACCTGAAGACAATAACCCTAGTTGTGAAAGGGTGATATTGTCTTGATGCAAGGATTGTATTGTACAGATTATGGAGGTTATCAACAGAAACATGTCTAGTTTTTCATTCTCCGCTGTTCGCTCGGTTGTTGCCTGTATCTCTCATCCTGGGTTCCTGGTGTTATCACGTGCCTGATGTGGGTATGCATGACAGTATCTTGTAAAATGCAATTATTTTTTAAAGATTTTGGGTGACGCGCCTGAGAACAAGGGGTTTGATATCCCAATAGTTACTTCAGTTTTAGGAGATAGCATTCTCTTGAATAAATTTATGGCTGTTTTTTTTAAGGGAACTGAATGCATTTCACAATACTTAGCTGAGTTCATTACTGACCATAAAAACCATCCCTCAAGTTTACGTGTTGGACTAAACTCACTCCTAAAATATTACAGTAATCATAAAATGTTCTCCAAGTAAGCAATTTAGCACATTAGACTTTTGGTCCAACTATTAAAGTTTCTACATGTATTTATCTTTTGACATTTCAGTCCAGTTGAGTATCAGGCAATTTTGCATTCTGCTTTTATCTATTTTCCCATAAGCAAATGAGAAGTCGTAAAGTGTTATTTTGGTTTTAGGCTTTTTTCAATTACATAACATTATTAGTCACCTCTTCAAAAGTAAGCAAAGAAAGATGCACCCAAAAGAGTGGATTAGTAATCAATGAAGTAACTATACTATTTGGAAACCGAGGTACAAATTCTAGCACCGACAAAAAAATGATGATTTCTTCCCATATGCCTAATTTGTAATGGATAGAATTCTCTGTATTTGTGCTGGTTAAAGTTAACATGTATTCAGTGGAATATAGTTGAGGTGAGCTGACCCGGCATAATCACTATTAAAGAGAAAAAAGTGTATGCAAAGAAAGATGATTTAAGAGATTGATAGATGGTGATTAAATTAATAAGAAAGACGTTTGAAGTGAGAATAAAGTGCTGTATTTCACATTGAACAGTAATTTATTTTTGTAGAAGATTGATGTGCGGGAGCCAGGAAATGATGTTAAATGAACTAAAATTTCATGGAATTGCATGTTTGGAGGATGTTTTATAGTTATTGTAATACCTGATAAATAAATTTATTCCAACCATTGGCGACGCTTGGTTGGTAGTTCTGGGAAAAACCTCCACTCAAACTTAGCATCGTTAATACATTGTTCGATTCTTGTTTGTCTTTTTGGCATAATTAATATTGTTTATAAATTGGGTGAACATTTATGTACTCCCTCTGTTCATTCGTATTTGTCGATTATACTAAAAATATATTTTTACTTTTACTTGTCAAAATTAACAAATCAAGAGAAGATCATTTTTTTTATTTTACCCTTATCATTAATTACTCATTTCACAAATCTATTTTGAAAAAATGACACTATTTAGCTGATATCAAAATAATAACCGAATATATATTATATACAAAAATTATACATTTTTTGGCTACCGAATATAAATAGTTTCTGGCGCGGGCTAAAAGTAAAAAAAAACCCAATCTCAAAATGCTATCATTATTATGAGTAATATAATAAAATATGCATTTCATCTATTATTTCTTATCCATTGTAGACAAATAAAAGTGGACGAAGAGAGTAATAATTATTCATGCAGAATATAATAATGTGAAATAAAAATAGGAATTTTAATAGTGTATGAATTAAATAACTAAATTGAAAATATCTCTAACATTGTAAACAGTAATCAATTCATACGAATATTCTTTCTTTTTTAGTCAGTTCAAAAAAGAATCACATCTTTCTATATTTAGTAATAATTTAACAATAAATAAATTATTGTACCCTTAATGAAATATTTAAGTACAGAGGGAGTAGCATATTTAAGCTTCAGAAGACTCTTTTTTTTAACTTTTATCACAAGTCAAACTATGTCATCTATATATATAAGTTAAAATCGATAGAGTAATATTTTTGTTACTTTTTCCTGCTCTTGCTTTTTTCTTTTGTATTCTTTTCATGAAACAAAATCTCTTTAAAAATGCTATTGTAATCTACGACAATTCTCTTGAAGCTAAAAATTAACTTATATCATTTAGTACAATACTAAGATTCTTTTCTGAACTAATTAATCCAACATCAGTTAGTTAATTTTTCTACAAATATATTCCGGCAATCAAGAAAAATATAAGGTATATAAATTACAGCTTCTGATCAGTGGCAGAGCCACCTTATAGGAAGGGGTGTCAAATGACATTGACATCCCTTTGCGGAAAAAATACATTGTATACGGAGGTAAAAAAATAAATTTATATGTATGTATGCTATGTATTGACTCCCCTTAATTTTCTGGTATATTTACTTTTATATATTTTCACACCCCTTAATAAAACTTTTGGCTCCGCCACTGCTTCTGATATTCGTTATGTCAAACTTAGGGTATTATAGCTTCTTCATCAAAGAATATTATAAATAGTGACCTTGTTTAAATACTAACTCAACAAAAAATAATAAAGATAAAATTACATTAAAAATTGAAACCGTAATACTCTAACCCCTTTCAATTTTAGTGAATACATTAAAAAAAAAGAGGAATAGTCTTCTTCGATACTATTTTATGATAATCTCCCTTTTCCAAATTGATTCCTGATCCCATTTTAACAATTTTTGTTGTGATATTTTCAAAAAGTAGACAAATGTCCTTTCATGTGGCAACTTGCGTGGGAAATTCAAGACAAGTGTTATGCATTTGTTATGCTCTAAGCTTCTCTTAAAGCCTATAAATAGGCCTTCAAAATAGCATTCAATTATCAACATTTTTTTCTTGCCTTTTTCGTTGCTCTTCAACTTCGATTTCTTTCCTCCTTAAACTTTTGTAGTATACTTCTTTGTTCCTCTCTTTTAAATAGTTGAGTTTGTAATTTAATATTTTGCTGATTCATGTATTTGTCACGATCTGAAATTCCCACCTTCGGATCGTGATGACGCCTAACATTTCACTTGCTAGGCAAGCCAATGTTAGAATAATATTAACCAATTCATAAACAATCTTTAAATTATTAATAATCAAATAAACAAATGCGGAAGCAAAGTTTGAAATATAGTGAAATAACCCATAAAATTAATGGTGTCTAAATACCATCCCAGAATTGGTGTCACAAGTACACGGGCTTCTAGAATAAAGACAAATAAAGGTCTGAATAAAATAAAGCTGTCTGAAAATAAGCACACAGCTAAAGTAAAATAGACGGGGACTTCAGAACTGCGAACGCCATGCAGTTATACCTCAAGTCTCCTCTGGTAGCTGAAATCCGAGCAAGCCTATGGTACGCCGCTGGGACCAACTCCAAAATCTGCACAAGAAGTGCAGAGTGAAGTATCGGTACAACCGACCCCATGTACTGGTAAGTACTGAGCCTAACCTCGACGAAGTAGTGACGAGGCTAAGGCGGTTCACTTACATTAACCTGTACGCAATATTTATAACAACAACAAATAATAAAAATAAATCAGGTAACTCATTTATAATAATTGAAGCCAACTCAGCAGTCATAATCCATTATTATTTCAACCAATTCAGTTGCAGCGTGCAACCCGCTCTCACAATATATTCACATTCATTTCTGTTGCAGCGTGCAACCCGCTCTCACAATATATTCCTTTTAATCAAATCTGTTATATATTTATTTCAATCAAGTATATATATAGACTTTTAAATAAGTCTGTTGCGGCGTGCAATCCGATCCCCCAATATTGACTTTTAAATAAGTCTATTGCGGCGTGCAANTATTATGAAAATTATAGAAAAAATAAGTAGTTTAATATTTAATATGCTAAATGTAAAATAACAATTAAAAACACATAATTCAAATAGCATGTAACAATTAATGCAGGAATTCAAGAATTAATATTTGACAAAGAATAGGAGAGAAATAATTATTATAATAATTAATTTATGATTTAAAATAATTTATGATTTTTCAAGTAAGCAGGCAAACAATTAATTTGATGACGTATAGACACTCGTCACCTCGCCTATACGTCTTTCATATGCAATTCACATAACAAATAATTTAAGGGTTCTATTTCCTCAAGTCAAGGTTAACCACGACACTTACCTCGCTTTGCAAATTCCAATCAATTATTCAACCACAACTTTTCCTTTTATATTTACCTCCGAAAGCTTCAAATCTATTCACAAACAATTCGATATATTCAATACTAATCATAGGAATTAATTCTATATGAATTTACTAATTTTTTCGGATAAAAATCCAAAATTTATTTAAATATTCGACAGTGGGATCCATATCTCAAATCCCAAAAAAACTCACGAAATCCGAATACCCGTTCCGCTACGAGTTCAACCATACAAAAATTATCCAATTCCGATATCAAATGGATCTTCAAATCTAAATTTCTCGTTTTTGGAAGATTTTAGAAAAATCTGATTTTTCTTTCATAAATTCACGGATTCATGATATAAATGAGTATGAAATCATGAAATATAATCAATATAGGATAAGGAACAATTACACCAATGTTTACCGTGAAAATCGCCCAAAATTTCGCCTTAACCGAGCTCAAAACGACCAAAATGTGAAAATAATTTCGGACTCTTCGATATATACACTGCCCGGGCATTTCTGCACCTACGGTGCCTGGGCTCGCACATGCGAGTTCGCATTTGCGAGAAACTCTCTCATCTGCGGAAAAGGGGCTGCCAACGTATGTACGCATCTGCGAACGCGCGGGTGCGTGCAGATTTCCGCACCTGCGGACTTTTGCCTAGCCATGCCTGGGCGCATCTGCGATCGAAGGCTCGCTTCTGCAAGCTCGCACCTGTGGTCAAAAATCCGCAGGTGCGATTATAACAGAAGGCAAAAATTCAGATTTTGCTTAAGTCCAATTCTTGATCCGATTTTAATCCGTATCACTCTCGGGGTACCCGTGACCCCGTACGAATATACCAACAAGTCCAACAATATAATACGGACTTACTCGAGATCTTGTATCACGTCAAATAACGCTGAAATTACAATTCACACCCCGATTCAAACTTTGAGTTTTAAACTTTTCAATTTGCAAATCTCGTGCCAAAACATATTAAATGAATCCGGAATGACTTCAAATTTGGCACACAAGTCATAAATGATATAACAGAGCTGTTCAAATTTTCGAAATCGAATTCCGACTACGATATCAAAAAATCAACCCTGTGGTCAAATTTGGAAATCTTTAGCCTTTAAATTGCTAGTTCCGTTAAATGGTCATAACTTGAGCTAGGAACCTCCAAATTAAATTTCGGGCATATGCCCAAGTCCCAAATCACGATACGGCGGGTCTGTTTTCTAAAAATGT